ATTGTTTGTAATAGACACAGCCCCTTATAGTCCCCTTTTGAGTCTTTGGATGGCCGGATTAACAAAGGGGGAATTATGACTGCTTCTGGGGAATACTGGTGGAACTGAGTAAAAAGTGCCTTATCGCTCACCCCCACCCTAGCATTTAGGTCACCAGAAACTATTACATAGGCTGAGGGATTATTTAGCATGAGAGTACTTATATATACTTCAAGTTTAGTCCAGAAATTGTTAAATTGGGACCTATTTTGAAGAGGTGGAAGATAAACATTAACCAATAATAATAGAGCATTACTAAATTTTAACAGCACAGACATTGCATAGCACTCCATTGGGCCTAACTGTATAATATTTGAATGTAGTTTGGTTGAAATTTGTATACTTCATCCACCACACAATCTGCCTCCTGCTCCAGAGGCTGCAGGTAGTGAGAAAGATTTATACCCACTTATATACAAGCTGTTGTCAAGCCAGGTTTCTTGGAATAGGAGTAGGTCGAATTCAGTAATGTAATTTATAAAAGCAAAGTCTCTGGATTTAGCGTTCCAACCTGCAATATTCCATGAGAGAATAGATAGGGATTTAAGAGCATCCAAATGTCAGTCTGAATTCCCAGATGTGACCGTTATTAGAGGCAAATCCTGAGAGATGGTAGAAACACAAATTGCTTCATGTTGATTGTTGTTAGACTCAGCTGTCAAAGGGATAGATGTATGTTGGGTATCAGAGAAGGCAACATCAATATCAGAATAAGGAGTTCCAGAGATTGCCTAAGGCCCAGAGCCAGGCCTCTGTCTCTGAGAAGTTGCCAGTTGCTGGGACAGGAGCTCTTCACCTTTGTTAGTTTGGTCTTCAGCATCCCCATCGAGCCCCCACGGAGATTTATTTGCATTTTCTGGGGGATGCAATTGGGGAGCCACGCTGTAGGAGGGTGGTGGCTCCCCAATTACAAAGCGGCTGCTGAACAAACAGCGGAAGTCCGGGGAGGGGAGGCATCTTCCAACAGGGAAGGAGAAAGCTCTATAAGCTGTTGACTTTCAATTTCTGCCTGTAGATCCCATTCCAAAGAATTATGAGTGTTATACCTATCTGGAGAGAATGTAGGGTCAAGATTACTTACTGGAGCTGTCTGTTTGTTGTATATTCGTCCACTTTCTGCTGCTTCAGAAGTTTAGATCTGTGTTGCAGAATGTACACGCTGTCTCTTCTTCCTTTTTCCCATTCTTGAGTCCTGGTTTATATTTTATCAAGTTATGACTGGACCAGACAGATGACCTCTCACGCGATATAGTTTATAAAATAGATTTAAAAACAGGAAAAATAAAAGGATGTTGCGGGGTAAAATGAAATAAAATAAGATAAAAGCGGAGAGCATAGACTCAAAGCTGCTCACCCGTCGTCATCTTTTTCCCTCCCCAGCTTTTGTAATACGTGCTTTTTTATTATAAATGCAAGTGATTATTATTTCTAAACTTTCAGTTATAAGGTTACAGTAGCATCTGATGCCTCTGCTTTCACCCCGTTTTCAGAGGATGTGTAAGTGACCCCTCTAGCTTTCACAGAAAAAGAGACATCATGAAAGCTGGTGAAACGCACAGGGAGAAAGCCAGTGCTGAATTTCCTCTAGAGTTAGTCTGACATCAGGGTCCCAGTGCAGTGAAGTCTTCCTGTCACACTAGCGGGAGTATGCAGCTCGGTTGCCCGAGTTTCTCTGCATGGTGTTGCGAATCCAGGTGGTGAATTGGCAGATGTTTATATAAACTCCAGGCTTCCCAGGTTGGGCACAGAGCTGCATTCCCCAGGAGACAATCCCTTGGAGTCCGTTGTTGCACACTAAGGGTCCCCCAGAGTCACCCTGCCGGCCAAAGAACAGAAGTGTTCATTTGTTGCGTTAAATGATTTTATCCCAACTTCACCTCTCCCAAAAACCTGGCCAAAACATGGAACAATAAAATGTTGGTAGGTGAGCAATTCGAATATACAGCATGGAGGTCTTGCAAGAAAGTCTAATGAAATAAAACAATGGTAGAAAAACCATGAGCAAAAAACTGTAGAAGAAAGCTGATCAGGAAAGGAATTCAGAAATCTCCATTGAAAAGGCCGTCTGTTAGTACGTGTCAGCTGAATCAGGCTGATAGTTAAATACTATAGTGAACTATTTACTAATAAATAGTTAAATTGCAATTAAAGTTAAAGACTGCAAGCTGACTGAAGTTCTTCTGCTAAAAAAAGCTCAATGCATTCTATCACTTGGATCTTTGCAATCAGCAATAACAACCATTGAACGATGGAGCTTATTCTCAAGTAATTATGTATAGAATTACAGTCATGTCCCACATTAGTGATCTGTTTGTTTTAGATGTCTACATTTTATGATTGGCCAGAGGAGTCTTGGTAATGTCAGAGAAATCCATGTTTCTAATCAGAATGGTGTGACATGCCAAAAGGACAAGCAGTGCACAGGTTGTGCTAATATCCATCTCAAAATGTTTGCTGGCTGAAAAAAACTGAAAAACCTGCATAAAAATTGTGTTTTTGGGAGATGTTGCATACAAAAGTGGAAAATGGCATACTATTTGGGAAAAGGAAAATACAAAAAGTGTAATATTTGGAAAATATATAATGTATAATTTTGGGAAGTTATTGGGAAAATGTATGTGGTTGCTTAGAGTCGACACATTGACGTGATGGCGCATAAACAAATCAGTCAATATAAGTATGTCTGAAGAAAAGTCACTGAAAAATAAATGTGGATTTTCTTTTTAAAAAAATTATAGCATGATTTGGGCTTTTGACTGAACAGACTGAATTGAATAAATGTGCTACTGACGTTTACTGGTAATAGATCATCTTTGCATCTCCTATTGGTATAATAGAAAAAGCATAGCCTGAGGAAGTGCTTATGGATTTCTCTCAACAGGAGCATTCCAAATTTACCACTACTGGTGGACATAGACTTAACCACAAGAGAACCACACCAACAACAAAATTGTGGTTTTAAAAGCCAGCAGATCTGGCAGTCTGAACCATTACAATTTGGGACAGTGCAAGGCTGAGCAGCTTACAGCAGCCTGAGGCCACACCTAACCTTTAAGAGGCTGAAGACCACATGTGGTAGGTCCACAAGGACAGCCATCCATGTGGAAGGAGAGTTGAAGTTTGAGGCAAGAGGAGTTTAGCTTAGCTTTCTTTCCCTCAACTATAATACACTGTGCTTATTTTAGGACTCATACTATAGTTGACATGGGATTTCCACCTCAAAGCAGAAGACCACCCTCCTGGCCATGTTCTGCAGAAATTCAGAAGAGGCTCTAAGGACTGCAACAAAGGATTTCAGAGACTGCATACAACCCTAGGTTGTCCATTTCTGGTTGGGAGAGAAAGACAGAGGCGTGCCCCCCCCCCCAATTCCTTGGAGCTCCTATTGTGACAAATGTTGGGCTATAGAAGAAGTCCTCTCACCTGACAAGAGTCCACGCCTCCTCCTCTCACACCAGCACAAAGCATGTCCGTGATAGAGTTTGGGTATGCCCGTTTGCAGTCTTCGTTGGATGTTGTATAGACTGTTGCACACTGTAAGCATGGAAACCCATTTCTTTTTTTTCTTTTTTTTTTAAATGACTGAAATCTCATGAAATTGTCAAATCTTAGAAGATTGCCTATATATAGGTGCCATAAATTGTGTCTGTATAGGAGTCTGACTAGAATTCTTGGGTTGTAACCTTAAACTTTTCATCGAATAAATATTTCTAATTAGAGTACCCAAATTCTTGCATCTTGGAATAATTTTCACTCTAGACCAGTGTTTCTCCACCTTGGCAACTTTAAGATGTATGGACTTCATCTCCCAGAATTCCCCAGCCAGCATTCTGGGAGATGAAGTCCACGCATCTTAAAGTTGCCAAGGTGGAGAAACACGGCTTTTGACTACAAAGTCTGACAATCGTACCTTGTGGTGACTTGATGGTGCCCCAGCCTGATACCTCACAATGAGTGTTAGGCTGAGCACATTCAGTAGCCAGTTCAATGGGTCGGACATACTGGTTAAAAATGGCAGAGTTGCACAACTGTAGCTGCATGAGGTCGTTGTCGTGTGTGGTGGGGTTGTAGGCTGGATGTTGGAATTTCTGCACAGAGGAGATGCATTGCTCAGAACCCTCGTCGGCTCGAAGGCTGTGATCACCCATCCGGGTGTAAATATCCCTGCACTGTTAAAGCAGCAGAAGAAAATGAAATGTTGTAAGAGTCTCTCATTAAAAGAACCCTGTTGGGCCAATGGATTTAATTTTATTTATTTATTACTTATTATTTATTATTACATTTGTATGCCACCCATTCCCCCCCAAGGGGTGACTCTGGGCAGCTCACAATTAAAATCAGAAACCCCATCAACAAATTAAATTAATTTAATTTAATTAAATTACATTACATTAATCCCTTTCTTTGCTTCCCACATTGTCCACCAGCAGTAAGTGACTTCCCAAACTTGCATTTCAGGCACATGGTTTGCAACCTTCGATGCCACCTCTACCTTCACACTGCTTTTAGGCTAGTTTAACTCTCATAGCCCGTCCCAAAGAACCCTGCGAATTGTAGTTTGGTGAGGATGTTGATAATTCCTGAATTTTCCTGCGTGACTTTAGGCCAGTCCCTCTCTCTCAGCCCAACTCACCTCACAGGGTTATTGTTGTGGGGAAAATAGGAGGAAGGCGTATTAGGTATGCTCGCCACCTTGAGTTATTTTTAAAAATAATAAAGGTGGGATTAAAAAAAATCTAAAAAAAAAAAAGACTTTCTTAATTGTTGCAAACATAGCTATCAAAGTTCCCTGAAAACTTACCATGAACAGAGCAAAATTAGGTACGTTTGACTTGAAAGTGGGTTACATACTGTCTAGCTGAGTAGGCAGACAGTCCTTGCTTAATGACTATTCGTCTAACAATTGCTGAAGTTACAATGGCGCTGAAAAAAGTGACTTATGACTGGTCCTCACACTTAAGACCTTTGCACCATCCCTGCAGTCATGTGATCGTGATTCAGGTGCTTGGCAACCGTCACACATTTATGATGGTTGCAGCGTCCTACAGTCATGTGATTGCCATTTGTGACCTTCCCACCCAGCTTCCAACAAGCAAAATCAATGGAGAAGCTGGCAGGAGGGTGCAAGTCACAGTCACGTGATGTCTCACTTAATGACCATGGGTGATTCGTTTAACGACCACTACTAGGACTGTTGTTGCTAAATGGGGTGGTCGTGTGAAGTTTTGCTTAACTACTGCTTCGCTTATCAAGGGAGTTGCTTGTTGGAATAAAATGCTTGCTTATCAGAAACTTGATTCAGGCTTCTGCAGTGTGGCCAGGCCAGTGGCCAGCACACGAACCAGAAACCTAGGATGAGGGAAGGTACCAGATAATAAAAGCACCTAAAAGCACGATAAGGCGATCACTGCTTGAGACATACCTGATGCTACGTAAGCAAGTAGGGAAACGTATAACCATGACAGGCTATACAGGAAACATAGAATAAACCAATAGTGTTGCTTAAAGCTGTTGC